TTTTTTGTAAACGGACACGGTTCAGTATTTTAATGATCCCGATGGGTCCGTATCGTGATTTGAAACTTAGGCGTATACCCAGAATTTAATTCAAAAATCCCTAACTTGTTTTGACTCATTTTACCGAAAACTAGCATTTTTAAAAGTTGAATAATTACTAAGCTTGACTATAAGTTGCCTAATTAGCTAACGGTTTCGGATTTTGATGATAAAACTTGGAATAGCTCTGTATAGGTATTTGAAACTTGTATGCAAATTTTGGTTCAATTCGGATTGATTTAACATGATTTAGACGTTTAAACGTGATTCTAATGTTCTTGAGTTTCACTTTAAAAGTTCCTTCGTGTTGAGGATTGATTCGAAGATTTAGATATTATTTTGGTGATTTGATTTTGGGTGAGTTTCACATAGGCTACAGATTGATTTTGGACTTTGGAGATAGTTGATGCATTCTTTGTTGCTGGTTTGTTCTGCAAATCTCGCATTTGCGAAGTCTGCCTCGCAATTGCGAACCACGCTTTTGCGAACAAGTGTTCGTATTTGCAAGCATGTGATGGCTTGGGTGGACTCGCATTTGCGAGAAATATATTCGCCTTTACGTACTAGGCGGTGATCACAATTTCGGTCCAAGAGTCGCATTTGCAACTCAGCAGTCCTCAAGCTGGCTTCGCATTTGCAAAGCAATGGTGCGAAATTGTGAAGATTGGGTATTCGTAATTACGAACCCATGTCGCATTTGCGACCTCTGTGCTTCTGAGACAGGCTTCACAATTGCAACCCCTTTCTCGCAATTGTGATATTCGCGATTGCGACATCCGCAACTGGGTAAAAGAGGAGGAAAACAGGACTTAGCTGATTTCTCACATTTTCACAAACCTAAACACCCTAGAGGCGATTTTCCAAGAGATTTTTCTTCCTAAATTCATTGGTAAGTGACCTTAATCTATTTCTTTTCAATTACCCATTACATTTCATGAGATTTTAACATCAATTTAGGAATTTCATGGTAGAAATTAGGGATTTGGGCAGAATTAGAGATTTTTGTAAAATTGAGATTTAGACCTCGAATTGAGGTCGGATTTCGAAATAAATTACTTAACCGGACTCGGGGGTGAATGGGTAATCGAATTTTGGTCCGAATCTTAATTTTGACCAAGAGGGCCCAATGTTAATCTTTTTAAAATGATCTAAATTGAATCTCTTTCATTCGTGGGTAGTTTCTAAAGCTTATTTTGAATTATTTGGTTAATAATTTTCTAGATTTTGTTGGTTTGGAGGCTTGTTCGAAAGGCAAGGTCGTGGTGGAACTTTGAGTTGATTGCGGAGTGAGATAAGTGTTGGGTCTAACCATGATTTGAGGGAATTAGGGACCCTTGAACTTCTTGTTATGTGCATTATATGAGAAACGACGTATATGCGAGGTGACGAGTGTATATGCGCCGGTGCATTACCTTTTTCCATGGTTTTGTTTCTTCATTGTATATCTTATTACATGCCTTAATTACTACATGTTTATTTTGACTTCCATGCCATAACTGTTACTTTTCATTTAGCTGTAATTGTATTAGATTGTCTGCCCCTTCCATAATTTCATGCTTAATTGCTACCTGCCTCTAATTGTTTTCCTTGCATGTCTAAATTGTCCTAAGTCTTGCTTGTCTTATGGTTTTGTGACAATTGTTCTTTTTAATTATGCAGTTTCTTTTGTATGACTTGTTAAATGGATATATATCATGGACTTGGTAAAGTTGAGACATCTGAGTTGTTCGAGATTCTTGGATTATCATGTTATCATCCATTGCTTCGTACATATACTCTCTTGATGTATAACTCCTTTTGATTTTTGGTTGTTGAATTTCTATTGTTTCTTGAAATTATTTAGGGAGCGGGTTGCATATCGCAATGGAAACTGAAAGGTAATTAATTGAAATGGTGTAATAAGGACGGATTATGAAATGGTGGGATCGGGTTTCACGCCGCGACGGATTGTATGAAGTCATATTTGTTGTGACTGTTGGTTTTTCCCTGGTAATTGAGACGAGTCTATATGACATATTATTCTAGGCTCTCTATTAGTTGGATTGAGTTTGTTGTTATGAATTAATTGTCTTACTTCCATTCCTGTCTTTTCTGTTATTATTGAGGTTATTCTAAGTGACCCACCTTAGTCTCGTCACTACTTTGTCGAGGTTAGGATCGGCACTTCTAGAGTATATGGGGTCGGTTGTACTCATACTACACTCTGCACTTCTTGTGCAGATACCGGAGTTAGTCCCAGCGGCGTTCAGTAGACTTGCTCGGATCCAGCTATTCAGAGGAGACTTGAGGTATAGTTGCATGACGTACACAGTCCCGAAGTCCCCTTCTATATCCTTTGAGTTGTTCATCTTGTTTCAGACTGTTATATTTCGTTCAGTCCATTATCTATAGTATTCTAGACGCTCATGTATTCGTGACACCAGCTCTGGTATTTGTAATTGAATTTTGTCATTTATTAGTTTATTATCTTATTTGAGACTGTTCACTATTATTGCTGCCGTTAAATTTGGAAATTGTTAAAAATGGTTAACAGATATAGCTAACATCAGCTTGCCTAGCAAGTGAAATGTTAGGCATCATCACGGTTCCGAGGGTGAGAATTCCGAGTTATGACACAGAGATCACCATTCAAGGTAAGATCAGGTGATGACAGAATTAAAACAAGCATTTCCTGGTGCTTCCAATAATGTGAACGGAAGGGGTCCAATTCCTCCCAGCATTCTCGCAAATCAAATGGCTCAGAAAACACATAACAACACCCTAAGGGGTGAAGTTAGTTTCGACGAAGCCAGAGGGACCGGTAGAGGATATAAGAATAATAACGGATGATCCTTTCAAAATCGAGCTCATGCGATTTACGAGAGAAATAAACGAAAGAATGGATCAGAATGCAAAGGAGTTTCACACTCAGATGGATCAGATTCCGGGCGCACCACCAGTGTTAAAGGGTCCAGATTCAAAAAATTACATGTAGTTGCCATTTAAGCCAAGTGCAACACTAGAGTTAATTCCGAAGAGATTCAAGATGTCGGACATACCAAAGTACGATGAGACTTCAGATCCATAGAATCATAACAAATTACACCATGACAGTGAAGGGAAACAATTTGGCTCAACATGAGATCGAGTCGGTTTTTCTGAAAAGGTTTGGTGAAACCCTCACGAAGGGGGCCCTGACATGGTACTTCCTCTTACCCGAGCATTCAATTGATTCTCTTGAAATGCTTGTAGATTCGTTCATTAAGGCTCACACTGGAGCAAGAAGGTTTAGGCCAGAAAGGAAAACATATTAAGAATTTCGTAGGGTGAATCCGAGCTGCTACGAGAATTTATGATCTGGTTCCAGAGAGAAAGGATGTTGCTACCGGCGGCTCCAGATGAGTGGGCAATGGAGGCATTCATCAAGGGTCTAAACTCACTAAGTTTCGATTCCTCTCGAAAATTGAAGGAGAGTTTGCTCGAGTTTCAGGCAACCACAAAGGCGGATGTCCATAACTGCTATGAATCAAAGATAAGGATAGAGGACGAACAACTTGGCTCTTCGATGCCAACCAAGGGACGGGGTCATGATAAAATTCAAGATAAGTTTAAAAATGCACTGATGCATATTAAAGGTCTAGAAGTCGTTTTCTACCGTACGAGAGGAGTGATGGGCGTGGCAGTAAAGGGTTTTAGTCATCGAATAGGTTTGCATCAGGCATAAAGGCGGATCATGGACAAAATATCAGGTCGTTATAGGAGAAAAAAGATCCAGGAACCCGAGACTGCGCGTATCCCAGGTTATCAGATTACAACTTTAACACCAGCCCGATAAAATTAGTGTTGGCAATGAGAAATATTAAAGAAGATGGGTTCCTGAAGCCGATTCGATCGGATCCTAGCCAGATGAATCCCAATTTGTGGTGTGAATACCATGGGACTCATTGCCATAGAATTGGGGATTGCTGACATCTTTGAGAGGAGGTAGCGACATTGTTAAAAAATGGCCATCTTAGAGAATTTTTAAGTGATCACACCAAACACAATTATGGCCAAAGTCGAGACAATGTGAAGTCATTGAAAGCATAAGTAGGATCACCTAGGATGATAATTAACATGATCTTCGGAGGGAGCAAGGTCAATGGGGTAACTTTTTCAGTAGCGAAGAAAATAAAAATATCGATGATGCACGGCAAGAGAGTCTTAGAAGTCTCAGAGGACGACATCACCTTCACAGAGAAGGATGTTGATGGACTTCTTCTGCTACATGTGACGCTTTGGTAATCTCTCTCAATGTTTTAGATTTCAATATTATGCGTGTTTTGGTTGATCTAGGAAGTTTAGCCAACATCATCTAACGAAGAGTTCTGGAGCAAGAGAAATTAATTGGGAACATCATTCCAGTGACAAAGCTCCTAGCTGGATTCAAATTGACAAGCGTGACAACCCAAGGAGAGATTTTACTACCCTCTCACGCCGAAGGTGTAACAAAGACCGCCATGTTCGAAGTGGTAGATGGAGACATGGGCTATAACATGATCTTCAGAAGGCCGTGGATACATGAGATGAAGGTCATGTCTTGACATATCACCTATTGCTTAAATTTCTGACTCTAGAAGGTATCAGGCAAATAAGAAGATACCAACCGGCAGTAAGGGAGATAAATGTGGTGACAGTTTCCAATAGCAAGGGGAAAGCATCCAACAAATAGCAATTACAAGAACTGATGACTTCTAACTTTTCAAATGAAGATGATAAAGGCAAGGTCATCGTAGTCCTACCAGGTTCCGAGATATTTTCAGGTAACGGAGGAGACGAATGTGACCGATTCGACCGCGAAAGAACTCGAGCAAGTGGCTTTGTTCGATGAGTTTTTGGAAAGGAAGTTTCATTTGGGAACGGGGTTAAATTCCAAGCTCAAGTTAGAGTTTATAATTTTTCTTAAAGCTAAAGTTGACTACTTTTCATGATCGTACTCGAATATGATAGGTATCCCATTGGAGATAGCAGTACACAAGTTAAGCCTGGATCCAGATTTCCCACCAGTAAGGCAAAAGAAATATCTGATAACAGAGGTCAGGAACAAATTTGTTAAAGAAGAGCTAATCCGACCATTCAATATCGGTTCGATCCGGGAGGTAAAATATCTGAAATGGTTAGCTAGCGTAGTTGTAGTACCTAAAAAGAATAACAAATTTAGGATGTCTGTAGATTATAAGGATTTAAATAAGGTGTGCCCTATGGACTCATTTTCGTTGTTGAACATTGATCAAATGATTGATGCCATAGACGGGCAGGAGCTAATGAGCTTCCTTGATGCTTATTCCGGGTATAATCAGATCAAGATGAATCCGGAGGATCAAGAAAAAACCTCTTTTATAACAAACTTTGGCACATATTGCTATAATGTGATGCTTTTTGGGCTTGAGAACACTGGAGCCACTTATCAAAGGCTAGTAAATAAGATGTTTGAGAATCAGTTAGGCAAAATAATGGAAGTATATATTGATGACATGATAGTTTAAGTCTTTAAATGTAAAAGATCATCTAAAACATCTCCAGGAAACTTTCGACATCTTGCGGAAGCATAACATGAAACTCAAACAGGAGAAATGCACATTCGAGGTCGGTTCTAGTAAATTCTTGGGGTTCCTGGTCTCGCAAAGAGGGATCAAAGTAAATCCCAATAAAATTAAAGTTATCCAGGACATCCCGAACCAATTGACAATTGCGAAGGAAGTGCAGAGATTGACTGGCAGGTCGGCATCTCTCAGCAGATTTATCTCAAGGTCCTCAGAAAAATGTCATCACTTCTTTTCACCTATGAATAAGAAGAACGACTTCATATGGACACCGTAATGCTAACAAGCATTGAAAGACTAAAAAAGTACCTATCCAGACCTCTGTTATTGTCAAAATCGAGGGAAGGTGAGTAGTTATTATCTATCTAGCGGTCTTAGAAGTAGCAGTAAGTGTCATTTTGGTCTGATAAAAAGAAGAAGGTACGCAATTTTCCGTTTATTACGTTAGTAAGATATTGTCAGGAGATGAGAGTCGCTATCCGCACCTCAAAAAGCTAACCATGGCTCTCATAGTTGCCTCTCTAAAGCTTAGGCCTTATTTTCAATATCACCTGATAGCCATCGTTACAACCTTTCCCTTAAGGAATGTCCTTCACAAGCCTGAGTTCTCAGGTCGTTTGGCTAAATGGGAGGCTGAAGTTAGTGAATTTGACATTGAGTATAAACTGAGGACTAAAATTAAGTCACAAGTTTTGGCTGATTTCGTGACCAATTTCAGTCCGGAATTAATGCATTTGGCTGGTAAGGAAGCAGAGCTAGTGTCAGGAACAACGTTGGGAGTTGGGACCTTGTTTACGGATGGAGCTTCCAACGTAAAAGGGTCTGGACTCCGAATAGTTCTAATCACGCCTTCGAGTGAGACCCTAAGACAGGCCATTAGAAAGCTACCTTCAACTAACAATAAAGTCGAGTATGAGGCTTTGGTTGTAGGACTTGAACTAGCCCGAGGGCTAGGTTCTGAGGTCATCGAGATAAAGTGTGACTTTCAACTGGTGGTAAACCAAGTGTATGAGATTTCCAACATAAAGGAGGAATGCATGCAGCAGTACGTGAACAAAGTTTATACGTTACTTGTATGATTTAGAGAATGGCCAATCGTCCACATTCCGATGGAAGAAAATGTAAAGTAGAGGCATTAGCTAATTTGGGGTCATACACGAAGATGAAAGGCTCTGATTCTGGTACAGTCGACCAACTACTACATTCAATTTTGGATATGGACGGCTAGTGAAAAGTAAATTCGACCAACTTAATTTGGAACTGGAGAAATGAGTTCATTGAATATCAGGTATGGTAAATTACCCAAAGGCCCAAAGGCATCCTGGGCTGCAAACCAAAACAACTCGCTACTGCCTCATAGATGGGCACTTATAAAGGAGATCATTCCAAGGACCAACGGCTAGGTGTCTAGGGGCCTCGAGGCAGACTACGTGATGAGAGAAATCTATGAAGGTGGTTGCGAAATCATTCTAATATTCTAACTTTTTCTCGAACTAGGCACTGCACGGAAAGTACCTAAGATGTGAGACTTCTTGTTCTGTTCCCTATTGACCTTTTCTCTTGATGAATCCTTTCAAGATCCATATCCAAGTCCACGAAGTCAGCATAAGTAGTGTTCCCCCTTCCACTAGTTGTATTCTTTCAAATACTCAGAATCAACCCAGGAGCAAAACGAGTAATCTTGTCATTATCTATGGGGATGAGGTAGGGAGAATAGCAAGATAACTTCTCAAACTTAATGTTTTCCTCTGAGGAAAAACATAGTATCCTTCTTTAAGGTCTCAAATGATATTGCAAGAGCAACCCTAACTCCCAGTGGCAACCACTTCTTGATGAACACTTTGGTGAATTCTTCCCAAGTCATTGGAGATGCATCCTCCAGTCTACTTTTCTCCACCCCTTTGAACTAGAGATCAGCTACATCTTTCAACTAGTAGGCTTCTAACCTAACAACTCGATGATCTTTCACTCCTAGCAAGGTAGTGGCCTTATCTGTCTCCTCAAGAAAGTCTTGTGGACTGGCAAAAGGACCCGTTCCTGTAAATGTCGGTAATCCAAGCCTTACAAACTTCATGGAGAATTGTGTCATGTCTTTGGTCAATGGTGTTCTCACGCCTCCCTATTAGAGAGATTAAATACCCATATGCAGCTTCTGTTGGTTCTGCATAGACATGTGATCTACAAAAGTGTCTATGGCCTTCCTTATGCTGAGAAGGATCTTATCTAAGCGGTTTTTCATTAGAGGTGGGGCAGGTTCCTCATCAACCTTTTACTCAAGATCATCCACGATTCGAGGAGCTACGGGAACTGGCATAGTTCATGCCTTTGCAGCCTTAGGAGGTCGGCCCCTAGGTCTGGAAGGGGTCCCTCCCGATGCTGCATCAGGTAGAAAATCAGTTTCTTTTTTCACGTTGCTACTGCATGTGTTCATCATGTTTCTGCCAATCAAGGTAACACGAGTTAAGCAACATCTTAGATTCAAGCTCTATTGCATGATCTAGAATAAGAAGAAAGAATGAAATATTTCTATAATGTCCATGTGGCCTTCCCGATATAAGTGTGGTGCACAACACACTGATAAAGAAAACTCTACTAGACATGATTCCATAGACACCCTAGGAATCGAATTAGAACCTAGGGCTCTGATACCAAGTTTGTCATGGCCCAAGATCTACGTGGTCGGCACTCGACATACTACCTGACCCGACCGACCCGACTGACCCAAACCCATGTACAAACCCACTTTTATGTGCATGCAGAAGCCTTTTGAAATATAAGAATTTTAAATAATACAATCCATGCATGAATTTTAACCATTTAAAATAATTATTTTATTAAATAAAAGACATAAAACTGATTGTTCATTCATGCATGCCATATGAGTTACTATAGCTTACAATCCAAAAGAATAAACTACTACTGTCTACGGAATATGTATGACACGTAAATGAAAATAGTCTACTAAGACAGGCCTCAGTGACCCAAAAGTATAAAGTAAATATTACTCCACGACAATAAGAGTGGAGCCTCACCAAAAGTACCAAATGGAAATGTGGAGCTGTCCTATCCATGGGGCTCGCACTGTTTAGGACCGGTACCTGAATATAGAAATGAAAATTTGGCCAAAGGGCCTAAGATCCACATGCCTAGTATGAATCATGAATTGTTTCTCCAAGAAGTGGGATAAAATGAGAAAAGAGGTCAAGAGATAAAATAATAATTTAAATAAGGAAATAAAATAATAGTATAAACATATTTCAAAGTCACTTTCTTTAGAATTTAAAGTTCAACCAAAATCATGCGAGGTTTTTACCTTTATCAGGAGAACTATACTGACACTGATATAATAGAAACAATACTATGTGATCAACCTAGCCACAAGTATTTGACCGTACTTGTCCGGGCGGTTTCCCGTAGTGCCATAAGAGTCGACCGAACGTCATTACATTTACTAATGATCATTTGCCCATAATTTAGAGGACTTTATCCCACAAACCTTGTCTTAACCTTAGAATGTATCCCTACATCGGTACGTGCAATTCTATGGTAACGAATTCAAGATTCGAACCAATCTTGGTGGTCTCCACTAGTAACTCTCAAAACATTTGAATCTTCTAAAATCGATTCATATCTTAAAAGCCTCAAAGAAATCTCTTTTTAAATCAAATCATGGTATTCATAACCGATCCAACCATTTGAACAAAAATCGAACAAAACATTTCTCATTCCTATGTTAAAGTAATTAACAAAATAAGAATTTATCTTTTAGTTCAAGAAGTGTCACTCTAACATATAAACATATTTTAAAAATATTACACTTTATATTTTCAATAAAATTATAGTTATCTCTCTCTCATCTCTAGTTACTCATGGAACGCCCTTCTCGTCTTCTTTATTTTGTCTTGACCAGCGCTGCCGCCGACGGCCAACAGGTAACCGCTCCACTCTCTTCCCTTTTCTCCTCTCTCCCTGCATCGCCTCTTTTCTCTTCCTCGTCTCTTTCTTTACCCACTTTAAGTTTTTAAACCCTAGATATGGTTAATTCGGCACTGTCGTGGACTCTTTTTCGGTGGCCTTCTCTCTTTTCTTTTCTCCTCCCTCCCGTATCTCTCTTCTTTCCCTTTTGCAATCTCGGAAGCCACAGGTAACCGCTTATTAGGTCACTGCTGATGACCTCAGAACTTGCGACACCTCCAAGCAGATTTTCGGCGACCACTACCCAGGCTTGTCTGGTCGAATCAACCACCCAACTTCCGGCCAGCTCTCCGATTTCCAGGTTCTATCTCTCTATTTTTAGTTACAGTTTTTAGTCGGTTTATTCTTTATTACATCTATATGTTTTGTATTGGTAGTTCTATATATTAAATTCAAACTTGCTTGTTACATCTGTATCTTTAGGCAGATTAATTGCGCTAGCTTGTTCTTGAGTTTTTCTTCTTGCTTTTGTACTTGTTCTTGACACCTTTAACTCATTAAGTTTTCCTATTTCTTAGCATATTTTCTTTATTGGTAGTGCCTTGTATTCAATTCAACCTTGCATGTTACATCTGGCTCTTCAGGTAGATTAATTATGCTAACACTTGCTTGAGTTTTTATACTTGTTCTTGACACTTTTAACTTGTTAAGTTCTCATATTCTTAGCATATTTTCCTATATTCTAGCTCTATGTTGGTTGAGTGGTAGTGATTAAGTAGTACCCTTAGTTTATAGTAGTTGTGGTTTACGATGTGAGAGTAAAGTCATGTCCTTTGGTGGGGCGGGAGTTGGGGGCAAGGGTGGGAAGGGGTACAAAGAAGCTTCCAGGCTAAGAGTTGTGTCCTGGAACTTAGGGACGCTGACGGGTAAGACTATAAAGTTGGGTAGGATTCTTCAGAGAAGGAGGATCAACATAGTGTATGTCCAGGAGACTATGTGGAAGGGTACTAAGGAACATGATGTTAACG